CTTGATGTATACTATATTATTGTTTTTGAAATTGATATTCATTTCATAATTTTATGAGTTTCGATCAGATCGAATAGTTATTATGTTATTTGTAAATGTTTAGTCAATTGTATTTGATTGTAGTTCTAAAATAGAAAAAATATAATTATGCGGGTCGTTATAAGTCTCCTTTTCCATTTGGTCGTAGAAAGAAGAAAAGCAAAGGGTGATCTTGTAGCAGCCTAAAAATTCAAAGGTTCGATACTTGACTTTGGGTATGGAGCAGCTTTAAATTTTCAAGTCAGTTGTCCCATCCAAAAGAGGTGTCTACAATTCAACAAAGGATTAGTTACTGTGTTCAACGGTGAAAACTTTGGGTACACAAAAGAACAAAAAATGAAGCAATGCTACTCAATAAAAATTATCATGTTTGTCTGCACTTGGTGTAATTGTGATATTCCACCCACCCCCCCCCCCCCCCCCCCCAAAAAAAAAAAAAAAAAAAAAAAAAAAAAAGTCATAGTTGATTACTTTTTTCTTCACAATAAATCTGAAACTAAAAAAGTAATTTAGGGAGTAATTATAAAGTTAGGGGCAAAAGTTTTGTGTTTAACTCTTACAATATATATATATATTCTACTAATAAAAGAAGCTTAAGATTTATATTTAAAAATAAAAGAAATTCAAACACTAAAAAATCATTTTTAGAACTATAAGATTTTATTTTTAAAAAATTCAGTATAATGTTTCACATTTTTTAAATTTAATTTTAAATAATGAAATTTAGAATATATTATTTTATAAATTTTATGACAGCACTATGAGAAATCAAATTCAATTAATATTTAAAAGTCTAATAACTACACTAAAGAAATCGGATAAAATTCAATGTTTGCTAAATGTAATAATACTATCAACTTGGCAAGAAGTTATAAGACCACGTACAATATACAATATAGAATGGTCTCTCAAATATAATATTAATAAGTTAAAATCAAGTCAATGAATTTGATTGAGACATATTTCGTATTGTACATTAAAGATTGTTGACATCCAAGATAAAATTGTTGAGACACATACATTTGATAGATTGGTCCAACAATAAATTGTTATTGTATCTTAGAGACCATCCTATGTATTATAAAGCAAAGAATTAATGACCGTTTTGGTCCCTCATCTATGCTGTAATTACTAATTAATTATCAATTATTAATTTTGATCAAATAAGTCATCAACTATTAATTTCGTAACGATTTGGTCCTTCGTAATTACCAAATTGGTCTTCCGTCAATTTAACGAATGACCAAATTGATTACAAAATTAATAATTGAAGATTTAATTGGTCAAAATTGATAGTCAATGACTAATTTGATAATTACAACATAATTGAGGGACCAAAACGGTCATTAATTCTAAAGTAAATGTCATTTGGCTTTGACTATGGCAATTTTCATCCTTTAGTCCCCATCTATTAACTTTGTCAAATTTAAACCTTTACTATCCAAAACTTTCCATAATTAACATTTTGTTGGTAGACTTTGAAAGTTGTAGTCCTCGTCGTTACCAATAAATGATGCAAATCCATTATGTGTATACAACATCAATAAAAATAAAATAAAATAAATAAATAAAGGAAAAAAGACAGGTTAGCCTATGAAAAGATAAAATTGCCCTTCAAATTATTGCTTACTTCCCCGAAAAGGTTGAATCTCCAACCCTAATGGTTCCCCACACTCCAGCCTGACAGAGCATTTAGGAGGATTTGAATCAAGGTAACTTAGTAGCTCAGTAAACAAGACAAAATGCTGGTGCGCACAATAAATTTGTCCACTTTAGACATAATCCACACACTGTCATTGTTAAATTTCAAACATTGATTTTTTCCTTCAAATATTGCCTACTGAAGTAGTGAGCTAAGCATGTACGAGCCATCTAATACCTACTTGACAGAAGGACTGATTTTGAAAAGTTTTGAATATTCAAGATTTTTAAAAATAATAGATAAGGATTATCAGATGACTTTTACTGAAATTAATTCTAAAATAATTTTTTTGAGGAGCAAGAAAACATAAACTTCAAAAGTACAAGTTCAAATTGAAAATTTTTTAAGGTTTATTATCTCTAAGTAAAATATAATCAACAAATTTGCTTTTTCTCTAAACTTTTAATGATTAGTCTTGTTTTCTTCTCTCAAACGGCTGAATCCCCAACGTCATGGGCCCCTACAAAGCATTTATTACGGTGAGTCAATGGCATAGAGTTAAATGTGGGTGCGCACAAGAAATCTATTCACTTCAGCATAATCCTCACAATACTGCCACCGAAGTTCGAATCTTGATGTTTTCTCCCAAATATTATCTGTTGAATCATTGAGCTAAACTTGTGCGGGACTAATGACTAGCCTTGTTTTCAATAAGGCATTTGGATGACATCATTGCTAGTTCCCAGGACTCTTCTTCGACCTTGTTTTATCCTAACTTATTAATTGTTTTTCCTAACTTATTACTTCCTCCGTTTCATATTATGTGTCTTGACTAAAATTATTTTGAATTTAATTTTTTATAATATTAAGTTTTGTATTAGTTAGTTTGACCAATAAATAATAAATCAGTTTAATATTAATTAGTTTGACCAATGAATAATAAATCATGAAAAATATAACAGTTGTAGTATTTATTTTGAGCTTGGTCACATTACTACCTTCATGGTGATGAACTGATGATGAGTAGTGAGTACCTACTACCTACAATCCCCGTCTTCTTAGAGATTTATGTTTTTTTTTTGTTTTTTTTTTTTTTTGAAGAGATTTATGTTTTAAAATTATTTATTTATTCATAAAATCGAGGACAAGGTGGAGTGGGGGTACTCTCCATCCCTAGCAAGGAATAAAACCTTTTCCCCATTCCAAGATTGAAAGTGCTACTTGATTTAATCCTCCAAATTCACTCCAAGAGCACTTCTCATACTATTTTAAATGAGCAAGTATTAAATTTGACCCTACGAGTATTAGCAAAAGACAATTTTAATCTACATGTTTAATTTCTATTAATTTTCATTTACAACTATTGTTTTAGTACTAATTTTTATCCACGGTTATTGTTTTAGTGTCAACATTTATCACGCCGGTCACTCCTCCGTTTCAGATATGCCGAAATATGAAATTGTTAAGAGTATTTTCGTTTTTTTTTTTCAAGTTAAGATCCAATTTGAGCATGAATAAAAGGATTTAAGCCCTAAAATCGATCTCAATTCACATTTCTCCTCCTCAAATTAAGGTAGGATGAGGAAAAATGTGAATTGAGATCAATCTTAAGGGTTATATCTCATTATTCATGCTCAAATTGAGATCTTAAGTGTAAAGGACGTAAAACGAAAATACTTTTAAAAATTTTAGATTTCGGCATGTCTTAAACAAATGTATGACCGACGTGATGAATTTTAACACTAAAATACTAATCGTGGATGAAAATTGGTAGGAATTAAACATGTGGATCAAAACTGTCATTTTGTTAATATTCATGGGACTAAAGTTGGTATTTGCTCATTTTAAAATAGTTATTGTTAAAAGTGCAAAAATTGTAGGGCCCGTTTGCTAACGGAAAACTGTTCTTTGTTTTCTGGTTTTTATTTTTCTGTTTTTATTCTGTGTTTTCTGTTAGAAAACTTGTTACTAACACATATTTTTTCAAAATTTTTTTTAGATTAACCTTATAGAATTAACACAAGTTTAATTTCGAGTGATTTTTAGATCTTATATTTAAAATATTTTTACATATGTTTAGTTTAAATGAAATAAATTTATTTATTTCGTACGTTTAAGTCTAATATATGTAAGATTTTTACATTTGATATTCGAACCAAAATTATATCTGTATATAACACAATATAACTAAAAAATATATCTGAATCAATAACCTATTAACTTCACCTAAAATTTAGTTTAGATAATATTAATACTTTTTGAGCTAATATTTAAAATATTTTTGGATATTTCCATTTTAATGATAAATATATAATTTTTACTTTGAATTCTAATATATGTGAGATTTTAATATCTGATATTCGGACTGAACTTGTATTACGATATAACATAATTAAAAATATCCGAACTAATAATCTATTGAGTTCAATCAAAATCTAAAACATTATATAAAGTTCAATTCTTAATTTTGATAATGTGAATACTGTCTAACTTCAAAGTGTAAGCAAATAAATTATGTTTAAATTAGTAAAAGAGTTAAGCAACGATTTGGTCCCTCAATTATTAGCGAACTGTCAATGTAGTCCCTCAATCGCTTATTCATCGATTTGGTCCCCGAAAACAATTGTTTTTAGTCGATTTAGTATCTCCGGCCGTCGATTTGGTCCTCGAAAACAATTATTTTTAGTCGATTTAGTCCTTCCGGCTATCGACGGAAGACGGCTTGAGGGACTAAATCGACTAAAAATAATTATTTTCGGGGACCAAATCGATGAATAAGCAATTGAGGGACTACATTGACAGTTCGCTAATAATTGAGGGACCAGATTGTTCATTAACTCTTAGTAAAATAAATATAAAAAAATGGTGATAAGTAAAAAAAGATGATAATGAATATAATCATAGTAATGTGGTTATAGTAACATATAACTCAATAGATAATTCTATTTTCATTTAGAAAACAATTTTTAAGAATGTTTCTATTTTCTAGAAAATTAGGAAATTATTTTCAATTTTCAAAATAGAAAACTGTGCTAGTAAAGATGTTTTTTATTTTCTATTTTTTAATTCTCCAGTTTTCAAAGAAAATTTCCCAGACCGTAACTTTTCAAAAATTACAAAAACTTTAAATACTAAAATCACTCGGCAAAACTCATCCACAGCCTTTGCTACGTTCCTCTACACATGGGATAAGAGACCAAGTGACTAAATTAGATAACAAATCCATAGTCAAATACTTAAAATTTGGTTTAATTTGGAGCCAATGAACAATTTTGATATTTCATTTCTGGTATTAACTTCAAAAAAACTACGCAATAACTGAACAAGGTAGCAAGATAGATTAAAACACTAAAAGCAAAATTCAGTGAAATGCCATTGTCTACAAAAACTGAAACCAACTCGCACTACAAAAGTTAAATAAAAGTTCAAAATAACTTCTAAGAGTAGTATTTGAGTGAAAAACATTCGAGTAGGCTGTTTCCGATGAGGTTTAACCTCAAGTCTCCATAAGACGAGGCCGTCTAACCTCCACTTATCACACAACAACATCTATGCGCTCAAATTCAATCAAGGACATATTGATATCTTGTGGCACAGTAAAACTCGCAGCTTCTGTGATTTCAACACGCCCAAAGCGATCCACAGCAAGCCTCATCGATCCCTTGAACATGTCAACTTTAGCATTTGTAACCACAATGGTATTACCCTCTTGCATCAAGTCCACTGGAACAATGACAAAAGTCAAAACGCCACTTAACATCGAGATATTCAACAAGTGGTTTTGCAACAAATCTCAACACATCAATATCAACAGCAATCATTATACAATAGAATTAAGCATTTTGAACTTTGTCTTGCTTGAACTATTCACCAACCAATTGCCCATGCTACTGTTTGCCAAAAAGTTTGAACTAATCCTTCCAAGCAAATCTTAAACCAATTGAAAGTAGAAAATAGAATCATATATAGCTTTGCCATTACATATCAGAAAATAACAGCTAACACAATGAAATTAAGCTAGTTAGTACACTAATGCTTGAGTTCAACAAAGGACTAAATGTGATATCTCTTCCACACAAAAGGTTGCAAGCTAACAAGAGACTTGTGCGGTCCGATGAATAATCTGAGAGCATATGCCTAATGCACTTAGTGATTGGTTCATAAATCAAAAGAATGGTTATACTTAAAGATTACATAGTTAGCCAGCAAGGATTAGAATGGCAGGTTACCAGAAGAGAAGTTTCAAATGTGCTTTTGATGAGTTTTTCTTAGAAAGCACTCACCTTACTGGTAGGATCAATATCATATATGAACTCACAATTAATCCAAAATATCACAATAAATGCTTAAACTTTTGTATATTTTCTAACAAAAAAAAAAAAAAATCATTTTCAATACAATAGACAATTAGAAGCATGAAAGAATAATCTAGTAACTGTAAATAGGAATAAGCAGAGCCCCAAAAGGTCAAATCGTTCATTCAGCAGAGTGAAAAGGATACTACTGAAAAATAATGAATATAAACATGAAGGCAAATTGATGTCAAGAACTTTTAGCATACAATTATAAGTTAATACCCAATTTGGTCCTCAACTATGGTGGTTTTTCTCGATTTAGTCCTAAACAACTTTCTGTGCTTAATTGGGTCCTAGACTTTGATTAGTTTTACCTAATTGAGGCCCTTGTTATGAGAGTTGGGTAATTTCCCCTATATTAATACCCAATCTAGTCCTCAACTATAGTGGTTTTATCCAATTTAGTCTTCGACTATAGTGATTTTACTTAATCTAGTCATCGATTATAGCAATTTTACCTAAATTAGTCCTTGATTCTAACACCAAGGACTCAATTAGGTAAAATCATCGAAGCCCACGACCTAATTAAGCACAAAAAAAACGTTTTAGTTGTAGGATTAAAAACTAAAACATTATATTCGAGGACTAAATTGGGTATTAACTCATACAATTATCAAACAACAATCAACAGCCCATGAGTTCAATGGGAATCACAAAAAGAACTCTCTGCAGAATAAATTACTAGATAAACCCTAACTTAAATCAACAACTACTGGCATTTAGATCATTAGATGCATTCAAAAAAAGGGCTAACCTTGATCATTCCTGGCACTGAAGATAACCATTCCAGTCTCATCTCCCACCAAACATTCGGCGAAACGGCCCTGCGGCCTACCTCTCTGGGCGATCTGCTTTGAACTCACAACTTTTACAGTGAGGCTAACCCCAGTATCCAAAGGGCGAAGCTGGTTGACCTTGGTAAAACCCCCCTGCTTCTTCTTCTGTTCTGCCATTTCTTCTTCTACGTTTTTGTTCAACAAAATCAACCAAATTCAAAATTCCACAAAGTAAATTAAAAATCAAAGCCACAAACTTTTAGCGAAGAGTGTTAACTATTTTCTGCATCTCGAATCTTTTCAACACATCAGATTTACTATTTTCTGCTAAAATCTGGTCTTTTTATACAACGAATCATTCAGGGGTTTCAATTAAAACCCAAGATATAGTATTTCATTCGAGAACCCACAGTCTAGTAAAGGGGGTCTTAGGAAAAATCTGGTGAATCAATAGAAATCAGTAACGCAGATCGTAAATCAACCAAATTTTTAAATCCAGAAGATCAATTGAATTTCAAAAGGTGAAATAAAATGCATGAAGGGGAAAACACAAACCTGAATCGAATCGATAAGAAATATGCAAAACAAAGGATTGCGAAGAACCGTAGATCGTGGAGGAATTAATGGAGTCAGAGGAGATAAATTTGTATCACTTCCGACTTATGAACAAATACCAATTTTGGCCTCATCAGTATTAATAAAATGACAATTTTAGTCCATATATTTAATTTCTATCAATTTTTGTTACGATTATTGTTTTAGTATCAAATTTTTATTGTTAAAATTCATCACGTCGATCACTACATCATTTAAAACATACCAAAATATAAATCTATTAGGGTTATTTTCATCCTTTTCAAATTAAAATCTCAATTTGACTATGAATAAAGGAATTTTTAAACTTTGAGATCGATCTCTATTCGCAGTTCTCAAATTAAGGTAGAATGAGGGAGATGCTGCGAATTAGGATCGATTTTAGGGCTTAAATCTATTTATTCATGCTCAAATTGGGATCTTAAATTGAAAATGACGAAATCAATTTATTCATGCTCAAATTGGGATCTTAAATTTTAACATTTGGCATGCCTTAAACAGAGGGATGATCGGCGTGATAAATTTTGACAATAAAGCAATAGTCTTAGATGAAAATTGGTACTAAAATAATAGTTGTGATTGGTGAATGAAAATTTGTAGAAATTAAATATGTGGACCAAAACTATCATTTTGCTAATATTCGTTGGATCAAAATTAGTAATTGATCTTGTTTTACTTCTATCCCCCGGGTAGCATCCGTTTTATTAAAAATATACTCTCTCTGTCCCATTTTATCTGTCTTACTTTTTTTTTTTTTTTAATTTGTTCCAAAATAGTATCATCTTTCCAAAATTGAACATAACTATCAATATACATTTTCCAATTTACCCTTTTGACTTTTCAAATTTCTAGAGGTAAGTACAATTGTACTTTGTACAAATACGGAGTAATACTTATTTTTAGGGGCAAAATTGAAAAGTTAGTAACATTTGTTATGTTGTATTAAAAATCGTGCAAAAAGCAAATGAGACAATCATTTAAGTACGGAGGGAGTATCACTTTTGGTCCATTGACTATTATATATGTATCAATTTTGATTATTTACTGTTAATATTTTTAAATTATTAGGTGCATAACTATATAATTTTTATCACATTTGGTCCTGAACTATTAATATTTTCAAGTTAGGTGCATAACTATATAATTTGTATTACATTTGATCCTATTGTTCAATTTTTGAACCAATTTTTCGGCTAACTATTGCCAGGATTTCAATCAGAAAAATAATTTTTTAGACACTAGTTAGCTGAAAATACCCTTTTAATTTGAACATAATATTTTTTTAATTGAAATTTTGAAATAGTTATCTAAAAACTTTGATAAGAAAATTAGACGATATGACCAAATATAATACAAATTACATAATCATATACTTAATTTAAAAATATTAATTGTTAATTTTCAAATTTGATATATATATATATATATATATATATATATATATATATATATAATCAATGGACCAAAGTGGTATTTTTTCTTATTTTTATTTATTTATACTTTTGTCTTTAAGATCTTGCTATTGTTAAAGCAATCTCCGACTACTATGCTCCTAATTGACGTGGATTTAGATTTGGTCTTCTCTCGAGGGCCAAATGGCCAATTGGCCAAGTAGTAACCAGAAGATTATCCTAACCTTACAAATCTCTCTCACTTTCAAATTGGATCTTACTTTCATGTCATTCAATTTACAAATTACTTACTATTCACACTACATCCTTGTAAATCTAATCAACTTTGGTCCTAATATATTAAAATAACATTATAATGTATATTAATTACATACAAATATTAAAAAGTAAAAGAAATAATAGTAATAATTATAATAATAATAATAATAATAATAATAATTATTATTATTATTATTATTATTATTATTATTATTATTATTATAGAAAAGTCCAAAAGCTGCCGTAACTACTGCCGCGACTTTTGTATAGGATTTGCATATCCTTTTAATAAAAAAAAAAATAAAAATAATGACTTGACATATGTCCACATCATCTTACGAATAGCAAATTGATAGGGATAATATTAGCCTAAAGCTGAACTTATCCCTGCAAATATCTCCCATTCTAAAATATGAGTATCACTTCCACATCATCTTATTTACAAATCATCTATTATTCACACTACATCTTTGCAAATCCCATCAATTTTCAAAAGTGAGCCGCAATTTCACATCACTTTAAAAAATTAATATTTTTTTCTTAATAAATATTATTTTGTCTTCAACATTATTAATTTATATCAATATATAAATTATATTTAAATATTAAAAATAACAAAATTAAAAATCTAAAAACAAACCATTTTTTAATTTTAAATCAAAAAGGGTAAATGTAATTGTAATTTACGTATATCAACATAATTTTTAGACACGTTAATTTTAATTTTATTTATTTAAAAAAATAATTTAAAAAATTATTCGTATTATGTATTGTACAAAACAAAACAAACTTCATACGAAAAATTGACAAAATACAAAACAAACTAAACAAATAAAATAAAAAAAATGGTACAGAATAAACTAAATAAAACAAATAAAATAAAAGAAAAAAAAAGATACAAAAAGCTGCCGCAGCGCGGTAGCTTTTTGTACGGTTGCAAGTTTGCAAGCGGAGCAAACATGCAATCCTAATCACTATTAAAAAAATAAAAATAAAAAATAACATAGTTGGCAACTGTCCATGTCATCTTGCAAAGCCCATGTTTGCTGGGTTAATCCCAGCCTAAGGCCTCAGAGCATCGTACAAAAGTTTTTGGGAAGTTTTTTGCACAATTAGAATAGGAGTTCTATTACATGTACTCTCTATTTATACTATTTCACTTTTACTCTTTGATGTGACAATTGATGATTAGTTATCTTCATTCTGTGGGTCTCAATGAAAATGTTAACATCAAAATTTTGTGAGAGAGAGAGAGAGTAAAAGTTGAAAGTATAATTTGGGAATAGGAGTAGTATTTTCCTTAGAATAGAGAGAGACTAAATTGGAGGAGAGAAAAGATGAAAGAGAAAATAAAAATTCCGTAATTAAGTTTTTTGTGGACTCCATAATGAGAAAGAAAAAAAAAATATTGTCCCCAGGTGCGTGTTCGACAGGCCCAATGGGCACTTGAATATTCTATTTTTTTTGCTGACAACTGACATTTTCAATAGTATGAACTTTTTGCAACAATATCTCTCTAAAAGCAAGCTAAGTAACTCTGTAATCTTGTGGGAGCTCACATCAATATGCTTAGTCCTAACATGGTATACTTGGTTCTTAGCAAAATATATGGCACTTTTACTATCACAAAATAGTTTAACTATACATTAATCAATACCTAGTTCCTTGATCAATCTAGAGACCCACAAAGCATCTTTAGCAACTTTAGTTACAACCATGTATTCTGCTTCAGCTGTAGACTACAATAAACTAAATTGATTATCTCCACCTAGAGTAAAGACATACATTTTTTTTTTTTGAAAATTATATGGTACTTTATTAAAAATAGGCCGAAATAATGTCTGGTGGGAGCAAGTCCCAATACATAGCAGCAGATTGCTGATAAGCCGAAGTAGCTAAAGCATGGGCTAAATAATTGTCTAATCTAGGAATTAAATGAAACGAACAAGACTGAAATAAAGATGCAGTCAGTCTGCAGCTGTCAATGGCATAGCCTAGGTACGTACGCAACGCAACGTTTGGTGTGGTAAGATAGCGGTGTAGCGTTAGACAATCCGTGTACATCTCGGCATTTTGTTCTCCCCGATCTCTCAACCATGATAGAGCCTCCTTGCATGCCAATGCCTCGGCCATAAGCGGCGAGGTACAGTTTCGGAGTGGTCCGGCATAAGCCGAAACATAACCTCCATTCGTGTCTACTAGAACAGCTCCACCCGCAGCTTGGCCTGTCTCCGGCAAGATTCCCGCGTCGACATAACAAATCCTCGTGGGCGGTCCATAATGCGGCTCGGCAGTGTGCATCTCGGCGTGGTGCACTTCGGCATCCTCCTGCACCAAATGTGGTTCGGTCGGCAGCGGAGCAGCACGGGCTACGGGCGGTGGATGTGCCCGAGTCCACGATTCCTTGGCTGCAGCGGCAATTCTGAGTATGGTGGTCGGCCTTGGTAACTTTGCTTCCCAAACCGCCCCATTCCTTGCTCTCCATATATTGTAAAGGATTGCTGCTGCATATAATATTTCATCAGAGTCTAGAACATTTAAAAGTTCACCAAACCAAACATGAAAAATATTTGTGTCAATGTTGGGGATCGTAAGGTTGGATTGTTCCCAAATGTTCTTTGCAAATTCACACAACACTAGGGCATGCATTGTGTGTTCTTGAAATACTCCACACATGGCACAATGTGGATCCACATCCACTCTCTTTATAAGCAAATTGGTTGTGGTAGGCAAAATATCACTAACGGCTCTTCATAGGAACATTTTCCATTTTGGGGGATTTTGAGCTTCCATAGGTCCAACCATTTTGCAAATGTCCCATTATTCTCCTGATAATTTCCAACAATTAGCCTGTACCCACTTTTAACAGAATATATTCCCCTTGGGTCTCCATGCCAGTACCAATTGTCATCATAATCCGGGGAAACAAGTATTTTCATAATATTCATCACATCATTGGGTTGGAATAAATCTGTTAAAATTGAGGGATCCCATGTGCCAGTTTGTTGATCAATCAAACCTGCCACTCTGGCCTCCTGCAGCTGTGTTGGCATTTCCGTTTGTATCATAGGGTCATGATCATCTTGTAACCAGGGGTGAGCCCATATGAGTGTAGACTCCCCATTACCAATTCTGCGCCTTACCCCACTGCAAACTATACTTTTCGCTGCCATAATACTCCGTCAGCAGAAACTGAGATTATGTCCTATCTGTGCATCAAAAAAAGATCCCTTAGGGAAATATCGGGCCTTATACACACGAGCCACTAAAGATTCAGGTTTAGTCAACATCCGCCATGCCTGTTTTCCCAACATTGCTAGATTAAACGCACGTAAGTCCTTAAAACCCAATCCTCCATACTTTTTCGGGATACACAACTTATCCCAGGCCTTCCAATGTATT